AGCAAATTACCTGTGTAGAGGTGGTGGAAAGGTGTCATTTGGGGTTGCTGGGATGACCCAAACCATTTAGTCTCTGAACTTTGCCACCAAACACAGATTTTTCACATCCCTCTCCTTCCCTGAGAACCCACCTGAACACCCAGAGTCAAAAGAATTATGCTATGCATCAAATGGTGAGGCTTCTCCAAAAAAGATTAATTTCTTTAGAATTTTTTTTTGGGAATTAAAAATTTTTGATGGTATTTTTTTTTCCCTGAGTAAAAAAAAATATTGCATCGTGTGCTAATTGCCACTTGTAAAAATCCCCCAAATACTCTGTTCTGAGTAGCAATTTCTGATCAGATCCAATCACCACTCTTTTGTCTTGAAATTTGTTATTAATTAACAGAATTGCAGATAAGACCTTTTCCATTGCCAGAAAACTGACTTTTTTTTGGGCCTCACATTCAAAAAGTTGGATATTTCAGTCTGCTTCTTGGGAAATTATGGGGGAAAAAAATACAACAGAGTCCAAATCTTCTCCTTTTTCAACTGTTATGGTCATGAGCAAGCAAGACATGGTCAGGTGAAAAATAAAGGTCATTTTTGGGGGAGCTGGGAGGGGTTTTTGTGTGTAGGGTGGTGGTTTGGGTTTTTTTTGTCTGCAACAGGAGTACCTTCACTGAGAGTCTGGGCTTGGTTTGACCAAGCCTCAGCAAGGCAGAAGAACCCTTCCCATCCCTGCAGAGGTGGAATAGCCTGGCCCTCTGCAGCCTGGGTCTGCAGGGTGTGGCCCCAGCTTTAAGTCCCTGATCTTTAGGGATTTAATGATGATTTCTTGTGTCCCAAACCAGGACCTCCACCTCAGGCTTTGCCCTGCTCTCAGTCTGTGCCTCACTTTCCTGTCTCTGCCTGCTAATTCCAGCCTCATGGAGATATCCTGAAGTTTAATTAGCTGCGGGCAAAGCCCTCAGAGGTTCTTGGAGGAGAGACATGAGAGAAGCTGAAAGTATTAATTTAACATCATTAAAATAATTGGTTGGTGTCTGGCAAGCAGGGGGTGAGCACCAGTGGTGCTTCTTCTTAATGGGAGATGAGGAGGAAATGACATTCCTCGTGGCTCAGTGGTAGGAGCAGCTCCTCAGTGTTTGTGTTAATGGTTTTGGACAAAGCAGGACACTTGGAATTGTTAAAGATGCAGCTGATAATGAAGGAGCAGCACATCCAGGGAAGTGTCGTGTCTGCACCACAATCAAAACAAGCTCAGGGGTGGGAGATGCTCTTTTAGGGGCCTGAAGTGGAATGAGGTGCCACTGGGAGCTACACATCACCCAGTGATGGTGGCACTTGCAGGGACTCAGGGAATGTGGCAGCAGAAAGCGATCTCGGTGTGCGGACACCCCCGGAATGCTGTGGGGGCACAGATGTTTTATTAAAGCAAATTTAGCAGTAAAAGGGGTTTTCTTCTGTACAAACAATAATAAACACACCAGATGAGAGTTACAGGAGCTCCCAGGGACCAAGGAAGACAATGACTGTCACCAGAGACAGCAGAAATGATGTGTTGAGGTTGAGATATTTCATTATCACTCCCTCAGCCCAGCTGCTGAGTGCAGGCAGCTGCCTTCCAGGTGACCACTCCTATAGGCAGGACCTTGTGTCTGGAAGTACTTATTTATGAAAAGTCCCATTTGCATTTATTTACAGTTTGCTGAACTTACTTCTGGGGCTGCCATGTGCCCTCTGGGCAGATGCTTCTGTGACCAGATCCTTTGTCACTTTTGTTTCTGCATCTCAGCCTTCACCATCCAGGGATTTGAGACTGGTGCTGCAGGGAGACTTTCTCTGCACATGTTGGAACAATTTCCTCTGCCATTTCTTCCTGTCTTTGGGGAGGGCAGAACATTTTTGGTGGTGCAGAGGAAGGTTGGAGGGAGATGGTTACTTTATGTCAGGTATCTTTTCCTGCTCAGCTGAACTGTCACAGAAGGATTTGGGTTGAAGGGACATTACAGATCATGCAGTTCCACCCCCTGCCATGTCTCTCTCATCCCAGGTTGCTGTAAGCCTCATGCAGCCTTGGACACTTCAAGGGATGGGGCAGCCACAGCTTTTCTGAGCAACCTGTGCCAGGGCCTCACCACCCTCTGAGTAAAGAATTTTTTCATAATATCCAACCCAAATCTCCCTTCCTTTAGGGTAACCCATCATGGGAGAACCCACTACGTTGTGCCTCTGGAGAATCTCAGCTGCAGACCAGCATCACCTTGGGTGATGTGTGAAGCCACAGGATGCTCCAGCTTAGGGTAGATGAGGTGGTCATGGGAGAGGAGATGGGGAAACCACGGACAAATTGCTCTGGAGAGGAGCCACCATCACCCCTTTCTGCATCCACAAACCACTGGCAGGTGGCTCCATCCCTTTAGATTCTATTCCTGAAGCAGCTGTGGTCACTCACCCGTGGTGCTGACCCCAGAGCCTGAGCCCTGACCCAGAGCCCAGCTCAGTGTGGTCCAGCTCAGCAGAACTCCCCCACCATCAGACTGGAGCACCAGGCACAGCTGTTCAGTGTTAGAAGTGTTTCGGCTTTTCCAGCTGAGGAATTGCATGGAAAAAGTCGGACGGTGAAAGTCGAAAGTTTGGAAGTGGCAGAATTGAGGTCACCGTGGAAAAAAGGAATAATAACCTGTGATCCTGTAATTAAAGTCTGGCTTGCAGTGTGTGAGTGCAGGGAGCAGATTTGGAAGTACAGAAGCTGCTTTCAGTCTGGCAGTCCCTAATTCCTGAGACCCTGACACAGCAGCCTTAACATTATATTAAAGCCAGGCTTAGTTTGGTTTGGTTTTTCATAAATTCGTATTTTGGATGACATTATTTTCACCTTATGGCAGATATCAAGGCTGCAGAGCACATCAGTCTAACATGGACTGAGAGTTTGGTTTGAAAAATCACATGTTTTAAATGTGTATGACCTGTAAACAACAAGGTAAAATGTGGATTATTATATTCCTGCTCAGTTGGGGGATTGGATTCCTGGATGCTTAATCCATATCCATAGATTTGAACTGAGCCTGGATATCTGCCTGTTTAATTTTAGAAAATCCAGATATTTCTGTTGTGCTGCAGCTGAAGGAAATAAATGGGAGGTAACAGAACATCTGGAAGAATCTGGGCACTTGTGTTTTGATTCTGAGCCCAAAAAGGTTTCCCTTCCAAACTATTCCCAGTAGAGGAGTTCCCACACCCTGTGGAGCTTTAGTGGGATTGCTGTGGCTGTTTGTTTTACGGAAGTGCTTGGAAAAATCTCAGGTCAGCATTTTGCCTTTTGGCTTTTGTGCCACCATGGGGGACTTACAGTTTTGGGGGTATTTAATGGGCTATCAGTCCAACTCTCTGGAGAGTGCCCATTTAAAATTCCTGATCCAGCATGTGGCAGTGCCAGAGGAGATTTAATGGGATGAGAGCTCCTGGGGAACAGAGAGCAGGAGCTGCAGAGCTGCTTTTGCTCTCTCAAGCCTTCAAAGTGTGTTGAGAACGGCCAAAATGTCCCTTTATGGATCCTGCCTCTGGAAATACAAAACTTTCCTCTGCCAGAAAGATGGGGAAATTGGAGTTTGGGGTTGGGGTGTTTATCTAGAGACAGTTGCCAGAGAGAAGCCAAGCCCTAAAGTTTTAGGCAGCACCAAGCTTTGTAACATTTGGATTATCCATATACTGAGTTTTTGGCATGTGTTCCCATGGATCCTCATCTGCAAATCCCCATGCACAAGGGTGCAGTCTCTGCTCCAAGGAGTAGGGGTGCTGAGGGGTGATCCTGGAGCTCCAGCAGCCCCCAGGCTCTCTCCCAAATGAGACTGAAGTCTGGGAGCGGGTGAATAATTTAACATCCACACTTAAGTCTTTATAGCTGGTTTTAATGGGGGGTAATAGCACTGCTAATAACAAAATCCATTGAAGACACCCTGTGCAAGTCCATAACATTAACTTAATGGCAGAAGGTAATTGGCATGCAGCTGGAGCTGTCCTTTTGGATTAACCCTGTGGATTTCCAGGCAGACACCTTCCTTGAAGCAATGGCCTTGGCAGCGGGTGTGGAGTGAAATGCAGATGTGGTTTATGTTAAACAAGTGCAAACCTGGGTGGAAACGGGGCAAACAGCCACCAATCCACTTTTCTGGGTTGTGTTTGCACCACACAAGTGAGATGAGGAGTGGTGACAGCACTGAAAACATCAACAGTGGCGTGAACTCCACGCATTTGTGCAGCCCAGGTGCGTGCACCCACAAATTTCACTGAGGTGTCACTTATTGAGAACACCTGAATCTTTAAGATTCAGCTCTCAGCACTTCTAGTCAGGATTTTCAAGCCACATGCAGAAAGCTCCTTAATCTGCAGGGACAGCTGCTTGGGGCTGTCCCCCTGCCAGAGGTGAGGTACCAACAGCCCAGAGGCACCACAAGTGTGCAGAGTTCTCAGGAGGGACAAAAAACATGGGCTGTGCACGGCTTCTCTACAAGGAGAGCCCTGCCTGAGGTGTCCCACAGCCCTTGGACAGGAGAGTTTGAAGGGCTGGGGGTCTGGCCCAGGGAAGGTTGTGCTGCACCTGCTGTGTGGGTGGAGAGACAGAGAATTTCTGCAGCGGGGATGGAGCTTTCACACAGCCCCCTCCCTCCTCTTGCCGGTTCCTTGCAACTCCCCAGCCTGCTTGAGCAATCCCACAGCTGCCAGCACCGGAGTTAATGCTCTCAGACACGTGCTGGGACTCTTGGGAATGCCCTGTGCAGGGCCAGGAGCTGGACTCCATGCTTTGTGTGGATCCCTTCCAGCTCAGGAGATCCTCTACAATTCCATGAGCCAGAGCACGCCAGGGCACGAGTGCAATTTTCTGTCTGGTGCTGTCCCAAAGAGCACAGGGCCGACTTTCCATGCACACTGATTGCTGTTCGCACACCCCAGAGCTGTCCCCACCCTGCCAGCCTGGCTCTGTGCTCACTCTGCCGCTGTCTGTCCCTGTTTTCCAGCTGCACGCGGAAGGAGCGGTGCGAGCGCTCCAGCGAGCCGCGCAGATTCGCCTCGGAGATGAAGCAGTGCGTCCGCCTCACCGTGCACCCCAACAACATCTCCGTCTCCCAGTACAACGTTCTGGTGAGGAATGACAATCCCTGCCCCTCTCCTCGGGTTTAACCTGCCCCTGCAGCGTGACAGACCCAGGGATTCCAGTGGGAAGGACTGGCAGCAAGAGGCTCTCCAGACTCCGTTAACTTCCCCAGCAACTCTTCCAGAGCAGGGAGACATTTCCCACAGGAGGATATTTTGGCATTGGTTATTCTCTCTTTAGAAGTCTAGAAATGGACTAGGAAGAGTTTTCCTTGTTGTCTGTGAGGGCAGGTCTGAAGGGACTCTGTGTTCTGCATGTGTTGTGTGTTGCCCTGGGAGAGGAATTAATTAAAAACTTTAGGCAAGGGACATTTTCGTGGTTAGAAATTGCATTCTAGAGGAAAGCCAGGTGAAGGATGATATGAATTATTTCAGTGAGCTCCAAGTTCCCACCATTTTGGATGGAAATGTCTCCTTCTAAGCCCCCAGGAACTCCATCCTGCTCCAGCACTAGGCACGCAGAGCAGAGGCAGGATGCTGTGCAGAGGAACCCACAGCTTCCAGGGCTCCTGCTGTCTCCTGTGACCTTCTGCAGCACGAGGTTTAACCTTTCTGGCTTCAAGCTACTCAGTCAGCAGCCAAGGAAACCACACAGTGAATGCTGGCAGAGCAGCAGGTGATCCCGGCCATCCCTGGGCTTGAGGCAGGAAATCACTGCTGAAGATCTGACCAGTCTGTGGTTTCTCTCCTGGCTCATGGCAGCAGGACCAGATGTGGTGAGATCCCAACATGCTCCAAGAAGGAGACAAAACCCCATTTCTCTCAGGCTACCGGTGCTCTGTCTTTTTGGCCATGCTAATTTGGGCTGCAATTAAACCCAGGCCCTAAAAGCTCCATCTCGAGAAAAGCTGATCATTATCCCCACATTCTGAAAGGCCTAAATGGAATTGCTCAGGGTGCAGCTGCCAGACACCTTCCAGGTGACAGGTTTGGATTTCTCCAGGGATAATGAAACCAGCCTTTCAAAGCCTTCATGTCCAGTCATTGCTGCTTTGTTTCAGCCTCTTAACTTTGCTGTGACTTTACTTTCCCCAGGCTTCAAACAAAACTGATCTGAGACATTTTAAGTTCTTTGTTCTTCTGGTAGTTCAAGGTTTCTTTTCTGTATTCTCTCAGTAGCTGTTGAATTCTTTCATGTTGGAATAAATCCTGGGGGACTGGCTGGCTCGGGGCGATGGAAAATGATAACGGAATAAGAGACCTTTACCTCTGGGTTACTCCCAGGGTGAGTCAGCCCAGAGCTGCTGGGATCAGAAGCTGACATCATCTGTTACCCAGCAATCTTCATGGGCATTTTGATGGAAGCCTCAGCCCAGTCCCAGTTAAACTGGTGATCCAGCTCATCCTGTCACCAGAGGCAAACCAGGAGGGGAACAAACAGAGGCTTGGTGGTGTCATCAGCAAAGCTCTAGAATGCTAGAACCCTGAGTCCTAGCAAAGTGTCAGTGACAGTGAGTTCTTGCCCACGGAGGCAAAGCAGGTGTTTGTGTGCTGGTTTTCCACTGATTGATATTAAGCAAGAAGGAAGAAACCACCCATGAAAATTATTTTTCTGTGAGAAGCTGCTGAAAGCTTTCTCTGTGCCTGGAAATAACCCATAGCTGTCTAGTTCTGAGATAGACAACTGATTGAGCCATTCAGATTCAACTGATTGAACCACTTGGGAGTTGGATCCGCCTCTGTGAGATCCACATGTGGTCAGCCACGCTTTGAAATTTCGAGCATTAACGGGGTCTTGGAAAAATCTCTACCTGAGTCTGTTTCAGCCCAGGACTGCTGCTCTGGGCTCTCTGAGAGCTGGCTGGGGGCAGGCTCCATGCTTTCCATGCTGTCCCAGGAGTGTGGGGTGTAGGGCTCCTTGTCTGCTCGGGGTGTGCACTGGCCCATGGAGTTTGTGGCCAAGCACTGCTCTGCCCACCAGTGTCATCTTCTGCATGGCACAGCTTGCTCCTGCATCATCCATGCCCAGAGGGAGGTTTGCTAGAGGAGGGTGGGTTCCCCTTCTCCATTGCTAGCAGGGAGAATGCATTCAGCCTGAGTGCTAAATCCATCCAAATAACCAAAGCTTTTTCCTGTTCCCCATCTGAGACCAAAAAAAAAAAGTCACCTTTCCCATTGCCTTTGCCATAGCCCAAAGAGGATCCTACTCTCACAAAGGCTTGGTGGCATCCAGGGCTAAGGCCTGTCTGCTCAGCTTTTCTCCCTGGTGGTCCTCGGTGTGGAGAAACAGCTCCAGCCTTTCCTTAAGTGAGGAAAATGCAGTGTGGGAGCACTGAGCGCTATGTCACCTTCTCATTCTGTCCTGCTTTGTCACCTGGCCTGACCCCTGCTCTTTGTGCTGGTAGAAACAACCCCTCAGCATGCAGCTGTGTGTCCTTGCAGTGGCTGTCACCTCAGAGGGGGCCTCAGCCAGCTCGGGGAGGAGGCAAGTGTGGAGAGCAAGTGTGTGCCAAGTGGTTGGCTCCAGTGTTCAGTCACAAAAACACGAAATTTACACCAATTGCCAGGTGCTGGGGGTCCTCTGGGGTGCCCCTCTGGGTTCAGGCATGACCTTTGAGCAGGACCCTCAGTGATGGAGAGCCGTGGAGCAGGACCTTTGTTTGGGAAGTTGCCAGCACAACTGTGCTCCCCCAAAGCATGGACATGGTGGAAACCAGCCCTGAGATTCCTTTCCCCATGACCATGAGCAATGCCAGAGGGTGTTGTGAACATTAAAAACATCCTTCATGGCTTTTTTTTCCCCATATGGAGCCTCAGCATAGCACAAGGAGCCAACTGGTTCTTCGGTGGGATGGGCAGGAGATGTTTCTGTGCCTGTAGAGACAGGGTTGTTTTTTGTGGTGCACTGAAGGCTGTAACTAGACTCTCCTCACACAGGAACTTGGGGACAGAGTGCTCCCCCCTGCTGGTGCTGGCAGAGCAGGCCGTAGAGAGTTAGACTGGAGCGCTCCAGTTTCTCTGGAGTCTGCAGAGTGCCTCTTGTGAGTAGCAGTCACCTTCCTCAGAAACCACCACAGCCCCGGAACCCACAGCTGGCTCCAAAGACTCCCTGCCTAACCTGACACCTGCATGAGAGACGGCGAGCACTCCCTCCCCTGCACTGAGCCAGCCAGCACTGGGGCTCCGTGCAGGTGTCCCTGCACAGCCACCTGTGTCAGCATCAGCATCTCGTGCCCTCCCCTCCTCACTCGCCCCCTCCCGAGCCGCTGCTTTCTGCTGAAGGAGGATGCTCTCTCTAGCAAGAGGCTCTTTGTCCGACCTCTCCAGTGTAATTCTCTCCTGCTGGCCCAGCTCTGTGGTTTGGCTGAGTGTTCTCTCTTCTCTCTTTTTCTGCCTCTCCTCCTCTCCCTCCACCTTTGCCTGCAGCTGGTCTTGGAGACCTACAACGTCCCCGAGCTGTCAGCAGGAGTCAACTGCACCTTCGAGGACCTCTCGGAGATGGATGGGTTGGTGGTGGGCAGCCAGATCCAGTGCATCTCTCCAGCTGCCAAGGAGGTGCCCCAGATCATCACAGAGAATGGTGAGTACCCCACAGCTCCTCCAGCTGCAGCTCTCCCTCCCATCCTCACCCCACGCCCTGCGTACTCACAAAGCGGGATTTGGCTCCTGAGAGCCTGAGGAGAGGGCATGGAAAGCCCTGGGAGCAGGAGGGATGCTGGAGCTGCTCAGCAGCACGTCACAACAGGAGCTGTGTGAATGTGAGAGTGTTTCAGGAGTGCAAGCCCGGAGCTGCAACCCCAGCAGCGGCACTGAGGTGCTCCTCCGTGTGACACCAGGTGTTTGCAGGCTGCCACCGAGTGGCAGCTGCACGTACCCAGCAAAGACAGCACATGGACGTGGGATACTCCCTCTCCTTTTGGCCAGGCTGATGTTCCACACCAAGGGTACAGGCTCTCAATGCACTCCATCCTGTGTAACAGACAGAAATCCCTGCAGAGCTGGACAATCCTGTCTGTAATTTCACCCTGCTTCTCCCAGATTTAAGTCTGTGTGCTCAGCTCCCTGCCTCAATTCCCAGCCTTTACTGCCTTCAGCTGTTCCAGGTTTGCTTCTGGCTCCTTTTCCTAAAGTGGTCCAGCACAGAAAAACGCCTTGTCTCCAAGGCTGCTTCCCCTAGCCACAGCTTCCTGCACTTTTTTCTTTCCCTTTTCTAACAAACTTTCTGGGTAATTTCAAGAGCTCCTGTGGCTATTAACAGGGACTTTCTATAGAAACCTTGACCCTGCTATCATCCCTGTGAGACACAGAGAGGATGCTGCCAATTCTTGTCCTTGGCTTCCTGTGAAAATTTGCTGTAAAATTTGCCTCTGGGGATCCTCAGACTGCAGAAAATGAGGTGACATGAACTGTCACCATCGTCTGTGCTCTCCCTGAGCTGCACACAGCTGCTGTGCTCTCCACTGCAGTCCCAAAACAAGCTCCCAGGAGGTTGTCACCACTTTCAAGTCCCACAGAGTTATCAGTCACGTTTGCTTACCAAGACAGCTACCAGAATTTTTTTCCTTGGTATGGACATCTGTCCCAGGCCAGGCTATCATCAGCCAACAAACAAAAATAGCAGTGAAAGCTGGAGACAGGACAAGAGGGAGAGATTTATCTGCTTTCAGGGCACCTGCAGCTTGTATCAGCTTCAGAGCTGCTGCTCTGCACCTCTGCAAAGTCCTCCCCGCAGTGCCAGAGGCTGGATTTGAACTAAAGAATGTGTGACCATCACACCTGGGGCCATCCATCCTCACATCCTGCTTTCAAATAGGTGCAAGACGCTGGCAGGGTTGTTAAATGCTGCAGAGCAGATGGGCAGCAGAGCCCAGCAGTTTGTGTTCAGTGGGGTTTGTGTGTGCTCCAAGGTGGGTGAGTGAGCACGAGGTGCTCGTTGTGACCCTTTGTCAAGCAAGTTTGCTTTGGCCTCATTGATTAATGAATCTTTCAGGTGAGGAGGGAAATCACAGAATTATAGGGTGGTTTAGTTTGGAAGGGCCTGAGAGATCATCTCATTCCAAACCCCTGCCATGGCAGGGACACCTTCCACCATCCCAGGCTGCTCCAAGCCCCATCCAGCCTGGCCTTGGACACTGCCAGGGATCCAGGGGCAGCCACAGCTGTGCCAGGGCCTCATCACCCTCACAGGGAAGAATTTACTCCTAAAATCCCATCTAAATCTGCCCTCTTTCAGTCTTCCTTGTCTTATCACCTTGTTATAAATAGCAGGGAAAGGGCCACCCAGGCAAATCTTGAATTAAACCTGGGTCACTTACCCACCAAATCATTGCAGTTGCTGCACCCTCTGGAATTGCAATTGCCCTCTCTGAACTGTGGGAAGAAGCAGCTGGTGACTGCCCAGCTTGGGAGAAGAGGGAAAAGGGATGAGGAAATGGTGTCCAGGAGCTGGGGTGAAAAGGGGTCTGCCACAGAAATGGATGGATCCCTCTGGAAGTGCAATGGATTTCACATCTCTCACACTGAGATGGGTTCCTTGCAGCCACAGGCTGAGGGGAATGGAGCTGGGGTGAGTGAATGTGGAAGGAATGTCCACATGCCCTTTCTTTCTGGGAACGTTGGGTGAACCTGTATGGAACAACTTCAAGGACAAAATTCTGTTTTAATGGCCTCCAAATTCCAGACATCTGCACTCATTCTTTGAGCGTGGCTTTCCTACTTGATGGATTCAGTCACCACAATTTTGAAATTAGACCTGCTGTCATCCTCCAGTCCAGACTCTGCTCCCAGGCACAATGATTCCCAGTGGTAAAGACGTACTCCATCACCCCATAAGAGTTGGAGCTGTACCTGTGGGAGAACTGGGCTCTGGAAGGGTTTTAGAACACTTTTTATATCTACTGAGCACAGCCCAGCCAAGGTGCTGTGGGACAGCTCCAGGTTCAGGCTGGTGGCCTGGCCAGCAGGGCTAACAAAGCAGTCACACCCTGATGTGCCTATTTTCCCCCCCAGGTGACCATCACATTGTCCAGCTTCAGCTCAAGTCCAAGGAAACGGGGATGACCTTTGCCAGCACCAGCTTCGTCTTCTACAACTGCAGCGTCCACAACTCGTATGTTCATTTCCTTTGGTACCAGCTTCTCATGGGCACGTGTCCCTCAGGGAGGTGTTGAAGTGTGCAGGTGGCCAGGGTTGGGGTCACTTGTGTGGTGGATCCCTCCTGACATGACTCAGAGTGTGGGGACTACTTTTTCTGCAGGCAGAGCACCAAATTAGGAGCAGTTTGTCACAGAATTGAGTCAAAATTCGATGATACCCTTAGCACGTGGCTCCCTTATCTTCCTATTACTCATTCTTCTGTGGATTTTTGGCTCCTCATATGCACCCTCATCCCACAGTCCCACCAGTAGCCTGCCCCAGGTGGTTAACATAGACATGGACCCTCCAGTCTGGAAAAATAAAGTTTATGGATCCTGCAGGATACACACTAAACCCAGCTGATTCCCTCAAGACCACGTTACCCATGGTGTGAACCCCATTTCCCTGGGGTTCAGCTCAGAAGCTGCCCCAGTGGAGCAGACCCACAAATCCCTGCAGAAAGGTGCCCTTGCAGCAGGCTGATCCATCCCTGAGCAAGGCTGAGTGCCTCTGTCCCCACCACTGAGCCGTCAGAAGTGCCAAAAGCAGATAATTACTGCGGCTCAGCAACTCACAAGGAAAGGCAAATCCTATTTCCATGTTCCTGCTGCTTTGACAAACAGTGTCAGAAAGCAAGTGCTGGGGGTGGGGGGAGAGCAGGAGAGATGGTGCTGTTAAATATTTATGGCATGTTTTGGTTTCTTACTTGACAAACTATAATACGCTATCCATTTTTAATTCGGTGTATCAGAGCAAGCACTTGTTACCAATTTGAAGAATAAGTTGCTGTACCAGAGCTGAGAGTGGATTGGGGTTGAGCAAGATTTCACAGAGACAGGGGAGAGGGGGTGTGTCTGCCTGTTAGGCTCACACAGGAGCTCTGGGGCTTTTCTGTCCTGCCCATTAAAAACCCAGTGGCATGTAAGGACCAGGAAAATTTACTCCCCTGAAGTCTCCTCAAGGTACCCTCCAGGTGCTGCAGCTGCATAGAATCGTGGAATTGTTAAGGTTGGAAAAGCCCTCTAAGATCACCCGAGTCCAGGTCAACCAGCACCACCTCCATGGTCACCACTAAACCTTGTTCCCAAGTGCTTTTTAACCCTTCCAGGGGTGGTGACTCCACCCCTGCCCTGGGCAACCTGTTCCAACTTTGCAGCCCTTTCCATGAAAAAAAAATCCTGATATCCAGTCTAAACCTCCCCTGGCACACCTTGGGGCAGTTTCCTCTAATTTTGTCACTTTTTTACCTGAGACAAGAGCCTGTCCCCACCACTTTCCCCTCCTGTTAGGGAGTGGTGCAGAGCCACAAGGTTCCCCCTGATCCCCCTTTTCTCCAGGCTGAGCCCCTTTACAGCTCCCTCAGCCACTCCTGGGGCTCCAGACCCTTCCCAGCTCCATTCCCTGGACACTCCCCAGCCCCTCCAGGTCTTTGTTGTGAAAGTCTCCAGAGTGTGAATGACTGGCATTGTGCAGAGAGCTGGGTTTGGTTGCTGCTGAGCAGACATCATATTAAATCATATTAAATTCCAAGGGAAGTGTGATGTAGGTCCAAGTCAGTGCTGTAACACAGCCAGGGGAGGTGTTTGCAGCTCTGACTCTGCACAACCCCTGGGGCACTGGAGAGCAAAACCTTGTAAGATGGAGGGAATGGCTCTTTCCTGCACCCAGAGTAGGTGATGCCCTAAATATGCCCTCTGCTTCCCAGGTACCTGCTCCAGTAGTCTTTACTTCTCTTCTGAGATGAAAAATATGAGTTATTATATTTGCAGGAACCTCATCCCCCTGATCAGAACTCACACCAATAAACCTGTGGGACACAGCAGGAGAGAATTTTCATTCTTTCATTCCCTGCTTCATCTTTGGTTTTCTGCCTTTGGTACATCCCAGTTTGTCTCTGGCCTCTGTGTCATGTGTGGGAGAATTAACCAGACGAGATAGTTGGTGCTCAAGGCAGCTGAAATGCAATCAATATTTATTATTCCTCTAGTTGCAATGATATGAATGCAATCTAAATTATTTAATCAAATGAGACATTTGAGATGCCAGTGACAGCCAGCTCAGGCCAGAGCAAATCCAGCACCACCCTGCTGGTGTTGGGTCAGTGCAAAGCCTGTGTCCTCCTGCAAAAGCAATGTTTTCCAGGCCGTACTTCCCTCTGGAAAGGCTGTCAGTGATGCCTTGGAGAGGCTGCCTGGAGCAGAGCTGGGCAGAGTTAAAGCAGGTATTTATTAAAGACCTTTAATAAATCCAGATCCACCCTGGGCAGTGCAGGAGCCTGGCAGAGGCTATATCAGGGGTTAATTGTCCAGTTACAGCTTCAGGTAATGAAGCCACGTTCCCCCAGTTTGCTCCTCCCCAATTCACTTTTGTTTATACTTTAAAGGCCTGAGGCTGTGAGGTGTCCTTGGTTCTCAGGCCCAGCAGGATTGTTTCGTCTGCCCAAGCTGTGAAGAGAGCTTGCAAACACTCTGTGAGAGTTCAGAGTTATGCACTAATGCACTACAGGCTCTGAAACATAGAAAAGATAAATCTTAGGGCTCATGAGGGCCCAGCTGGCCGAGTGACTGCTGTGTCTCTGTTCCAGGTGCCTGTCGTGCGTGGAGAGCCCTTACCGCTGCCACTGGTGCAAGTACCGCCACGTCTGCACCCACGACCCCAGCTCCTGCTCCTTCCAGGAGGGACGAGTCAAGATGCCCGAGGTAGGAAAGGAATGTGCCACACGTCCGGGATGCTCGGGGCTGATGTCACCTTCTCAGCCCAGGAAGCCTTCTCCACCTCCAGTCCCACCCTTTCCCTCCTCTGCTCGCCCTCCCCTCTCCCCTCTGCTCAGCCAGACCCCAGGGAGCTGTTCCCTCCCTCCTGCACACCACAGGGGTTGTGTGACCTTGGGAACTCATCATAAACTCCTGGCACCAAAGGCTGGGGAGGGATGGGAAACACTGGTGGTGCATCTCCTCCAGGAGAGGAGGAGGATGTTACTGAGACCTGGGGAGGATTTAGGGCTTTAGCCACGGGATCAGTAGGTTCCAGCTGTGTTTGGAACATCTCTGGGGCTTTGTGGGATTGGTGCCTAATGGCAAATGCATCCAGCTGCCCCCAGATTGCCACTGACTGAGCTGAACTGGAGCTTGGGTCTTAATACAGAGCTGCAAATGCTGCCTGGCTGGTGGTGTAACCAAGGAGCCCTTGCAGGAAAGGAGAATACAAATAGGAAGACACCTAATTCCTTCCTGGTCCCACCTTTAGTGTCTTCATGCTCCTGTGACATCCCCGTTCCCTCCCACCCCTTCTGTAAATGCTGGTTGAGCTCTCACATTTGTGCTGGTTGAGATGACCTGCATCAGATGTCCTGACCTGCTCTGGCACTGGGAAAAGCCATAAATACTCAGGAGTTCTCCACCTACCAGGATTAGAGATTTTCTGTAACCCTATTGGAAAGTGTGCTGAGGAGCTGGAGGGCTTGATGCCCTGAGCTTGGTCAGGAAAGGCAGCTCAGGGTTATTCCAAAGCCTTGTCACACTTTGGCCAGTCCTGATGGCCACAGGTTTCTGTCCCTTCCACTGCAGGCACTGTAGGAACCTTTTCTTGTTGAGTGAGATCCCCTGGGACACCTCTCCCTCACCCTCTCCCTCTCCCTCTCCTTCTCATCAAACTGCCTGTTTTTAGCTTTTTGACCTCTCTTCTGGTTCTGTTTCTGAAAGATGTCCTCTTCAGGAGACAGCTCCACTCTGGGGGGCTTTGTTTGACAGTAGAGTTTGCTTTTCTTCTCTTCTACCCCCTTTAACAGAGAATTTGCTGCTAAGCTTTGTGTGCCCCCTTTCTGAACCTGTAAAAGTGAGATTTTCATGGCAGCAGGAAGAGGCAGAATTGATCTACAAGGCAATGACAGCATCACACAATGTTACACTGGTCATTTCTAATGGGGGCTGCAGCATTTTTTTGCCTTCTGTGGGCACAAATGTGATCTCCTTGCCCTGGGATACAACATTTGGAATAATCTCCTAAGGCCAGGAGCTGGTTTTGCTGTCTGCTCCACAGAGGAAGCACTGAAATGACAAAATCTGCAAGGATAAAGGCCTTGCAACCCCCAAAACTTTCAGAGCTTGCTTTGTGCCTGGCAGTGCGAGAAATGCCATGCAGCTTCAGGGTCCTTCTCATCCCCTCTGTGTGTTTGTGGCTCTGGAATACTGGGGAAGGATGGCATCACAAGTGCACTCTGACAAGCAGATTTACAATCACTCTGTGGCCAGAAAGGTGTTTTTTTTTATCAAATGTCACTTTGAACGAGCGTCTATCTCCCATGCTTCTCTTGAAAAGCCATCTTCTCACTGACTCACTGCTCTCACTGAAACTTCCACTGTCTGTTTTGTACTGTCACCTGTAATTCTATCATTTTCTGGCCTGTGCACTTGTCTACTTGTTGAGTGGGTTCTCTGAACAATAGGAGCCATTCAAAACCATGAAGAAGCCAAGCCTGGCTCCTCATTGCCAGCCCAGACCTTCACCTGGCTCCTGGTGCTGCAACGTGACTCACATGGTTGACAAGAGCCAGCTCTGTTCCCATCTTCAGCAGAGCTCAGAGTGCACCCTCGCCTTGAGTGGCTCTGTTTTCCTCTCATATCCATTCTCCTTTCAGTCCTTTCCTCTGCCAGCATTTGGAGCCCTGGAGGATGAGGAGAGGGAAGGCTTTGCTTCCACCCAGGCATGAGTACCTGCTAAGCTGGTGAATCTTGAGGAGATGCTGATGGGAAACGTGGGGTGGTTGGAGGATCCCGTTTGCTGTCTCTCCATGAGTTTGCTGAGCAGATTAACTTGGGCATCTTCCCAAACAAATATTGGTGTTATTCTGTCACATGGACCCGTGCCAGGAGCTCCTTCCCTCTGGAGTCATCAGTGCTGGCATGCCAAGCCTTCACCTTCCCCCTCACTGTGACCTTCCCTTGCTGTGCCCACCTCCAGGTGATTTTTCCCCTCTGTTTGCCTGTACAACATCTTGCCATCCTGTGGGAAGAGGCTTCCCACTCTCCAGCTGGTCTGGGCTGCAAATGGGCTCATTGGGCTGGCAGCCCTCATGCCTGGGCCAGTCTGGGGTGCTCTGAAAGGGAGGTTGTGCCCTTGTGACCTCCTGAATCCATCATTTCCTTAGGATGCCTCGCAAGTTTCTGGACTCCCACGGGCTCAGCCTTTCATTTAGGACTTATTCATGTTCTCTGGGAGGATCTTGGGTTTTTTGCCTGTATTTCCTTGTAGTATGACCTGCTGATTTGTGCAGGATGCTAGATGGATGTGAGACTGATCCAGAGGGACAGCAGAAAGGCTTTGGCTGTGGCCCTCATTGCCCAAAAAATGCTGTTACCTGCCACCCAAAGGCAGTTTTGAATTGTCTCGTGGAGATCAGCCAGCCCCAGGCTGGGAATGGCAAAACAACCAGAAATGGGGAAAGGACAGAAAATGCCTGTTCCCTCACCATCAACACTGAGATATGACTTTCTTACCTGCCACTTGTCAGGTGAATCAGTTCTGTCTGTGACAGATCTGGATCAGCCACGCTGGGAGCCTTGGGAAAGCCCATGTTTGCTCCAGCAAAGAGCTCCAGCTTAGTCATAAAGCAAGAGTATTTATGATTATGGCACTGATCTTAATCACAGAGGGTTCATGATGTCCCCAGATGATTTGCAGAAGAAATACTTCACCTTGGCGTGTAATTTCCCTTTACAGCAGGTTTTTGAAAGCCAGACCCACTCGCTTGAAATATACTGAGTGACTTCTTGCTTTAAAAGGGGAGCTGATATCATCGTTACTGAGGCAGGAAGGGAAAGCACGAGGGAAAAAAGGATATTTTAATACTGGAGTGGATTGTTGCTGCTGCTGCTGCTGTTTTTCCCAAAGAGCTGATGGCAAAAGTGGAGAGAATTAGTCTCAGAAATAGAAGGACTTTTTGGGGTTTTTCTTTGTCATCCTGTCTCTGCTTTTGCCATCTGCTGCTGACCAGAGTTAGAGTGCAAGCTCAGAGTCTGAGCACAAACCATTGCCTTGCAGATTCCCACTCTGAAATCAACCATTACCTGACACAATCCCCAAGCAAGACAGCTCAGCCACTTCCTTCTGCAAATGGCAAGACAGTCAACAAGAACTGGGGGAAACTGAGGCAAGAGGTGTTAAACAATGGATCTGTGGGTCTCCAGTGTGACAGGGGCTGTAGAAACAACACCTGTCTCCTGATATCAATTACCCAATGCTGACTGTCTCATCTGCCTTGTCTCCATTCAGATCTGCTCTGATCCACAGAGTAGTTTTCATGTCAGTGTTTCTCTACAAGGCTGGGATGCTGGGATAGCCTGCTTGAGTTGATGGGATAAAGGAATAAATCTTTTATTTGTGCGTTTTTCTCTAACATGAACATTATCTTGTTCCAGGCCTTGCAAGGATTTTAGCTTTGTGTAGGGGAAAAAGAAGGGGGAAAATGGCACAAGCCAAAAGCAAGCCTAGATAACAAATCTGTTATTCACCAGGTTTAACAGATACATAATCATTTAATTACCTTGAAGGAGGTTTTCATCTTTCCCTGCTCAGCCGACATGTGCGTGCGTGTGTTTTTCTTCCTCCCCCAAACAAGCCTTTCATTAAAAGGATTTTCATCTGCTGCCTAAAAAGGGAAGAGAAGAAAAGATCTCGCACTGAGGTGTTTTATGTTGAGTTGTACGTGCTAATGACAGCAAAGCCCACATAAAAGGAACAACTGCTTCAAATATTCATTTGTCAGGAGTGATGGGGAGCCCTGTGAGCCGCGTGCTGGCGAGCAGCTGCCGAGGAGCAGAGCATGGCTTAGCTCCTGCCTTGTGCCAAACCAAGAGCTCTCCTGGTGGCCTCCATCACCAGTGCACTGATTTAGCTCTGCCTGGCTGCTGGTCCTTCTTGGGAAGGTGTTTGTTGGGAAATGGGGTGGAAGGAACGGGGGGAAGAAGAAGGTGGAGGGTGATGATGCCTGAACTGACAGGCATCTAAGAGGCATTTGGATAATGTCCTTAATAACAGGCTTTTAATTTTTGTTAGTCCTGAAGTGGTCAGGAAGTTGGGCAGGATGGTGGTTGTAGTTCCCTTTGAACTGAAAATACAATGTTTTATTCTATTCTACTCTATTAGGTCCCTTTGAACTGAAAACCTATTCTATTCTATTCTATTCTATTCTATTCTATTCTATTCTATTCTATTCTATTCTATTCTATTCTATTCTATTCTATTCTATTCTATTCTATTCTATTCTATTCTGTTCTGTTCTGTTCTGTTCTGTTCTGTTCTGTTCTATTCTATTCTAT